TTTATTTAACATATATATATGTGATATCTGTCCACAACAATAAATTTATCTGACCCTAATGAGTGGTGTATATCCTAAACGTGAAGTCGGAGAGATAAGTCTTTTAAACTTTTATTTATTAGCACGACATTCTCTCCATCTCTATCTCCCTCGCGATATATATATATATATATATATATATATATATATATATATATATATATATATATATAGGTATGCTATATTTATGGAATAAAGAGCTCAATATCAAAGATAGAGCGTATGTAAATATATATAAAACTAGAAATTGAAGTCAACACTCAGAGGCGACACATGCTAAACGCAATCGTCAGGCCCGACGATTGTGTTTAGCATGTAACATTTTTCTGTTTATACATTATTTTTATGGATACAACTTATTTAAGTAAATAAAAAGTAAAAAAATAACGTAAAACAGAAAATGTATTAAAATATTTGTTCATTTGATTTATATATATATATATATATATATATATATATATATATATATATATACACTCAAATGGTTGGAGCATGTTTATTTCGCTGGTGTGCATAACTATAATGTAAAATTGTATACATTAATATTTATCATCAAATAAATTTTTTCATGAACCCAAACAAATACGTCTTGTGTGTACATGCCTATACCTAATACTTTTCCAAATATGCTTGAAAAATGCATATCGATTATTATATATATATATATATATATATATATATATATATATATATATATATATTCATTTTATATATATATATATATATATATATATGGTGCAATGGATTAATTGTCGTCTAAGTTAGACACAAAAAAAACAACACTGACATTTCATTTTGTCTAGTGGTACGCCTGACTTTCTTAGGTGAAATGATTTTAAGAAAATATATATACCAAAATTACACAAAAAATTTTTAAAATACTAAATCTCCTGCAACTCTCTTGGCGGTGTTTTTGTTTAAGTTGGTGAATGCTGCCATAATTATTGCCTTCTGTTGATCTTTGGTGTTACAAGGAGTTTTGTTGGTCTCTCGCTCAACTGTGCCCCACACATAATAATCAAGTGGGGTGAGAGTCTGTGGAGTTAGGTGGCTAGCTGTAAGAGGTGATGTTGTCGCAGAAATTGTCTGACAGACATGCCTGAGCTCTCCCGCCTTTGTGGCATGGTTCGGTGTCTTATTGTCAGTTATTTTGTCTTCCAGCAGCCACACTCTTGACCCAGGCCAGCACTACATTCTCAAGGCACTTTATGCAGACCTTCGTGTTGTGTCGGATTCCCTCAACAACAAATTCGGGAGTTGTTTTCTTATCAGAATGATGAGTTTTCCGAGATGCCGTACCTTCGTAATTACCATTAGCGTAATCCACCTCTTTCCGAACCCTCTACGCTGTCTTCAGATTTACACTCTGAAATGTTTGTATTGGAGCTTCCGACGCGAATACCAAACAGTACAGCATGCTGTTTTCAAATTTCTGGCGTCATGGTGCTCTTTTTCTCACAAACGGTGCCCAACTGACCCTACTATAAAGTGCAGTCGACAAAATCAAGAACAAACAATGCACATTCGCGAAATAAAAAATATAATATAACGATAACGACAATTCGCACCTATATATATATATATATATATATATATATATATATATATATATATGTATATATATATATATATATACTTAAGTACACGCATGTATGCTTAAATATATTTATTCAAGTATTTGCACGATGACAAGAACATTATTCCAAAACCAATGCGGCACACCCACCTGTCCCTATTTACCTTACACCCATCCTAATGCTCCACCCTCATTTCCTACTTGTCGTCTCTGTGAGCATCACCCCTGCCTATCTTCATATTTACATTCACCAAAGTAATGACCCATAGCTTTCCTTAATGGAAGCCAGTGTAAAAAAATGTGGTCCCTTTCCAAAGATATAATGAGACGCCATCACATCTGCAACACCTGTTCAACAATTTTTAATATGTGCCGAGCTCCCCTTTCTATCTATCTGCAGACATCTTGAGTTTTTCTCAACCTTTTTCTCTTCGCTTCTTCTTGACAGGATAATATTCTCGTCTTTGCTTGCCTTCTTCTTTTGTTGATTATGATTTTTTTTTATGATTGTCTGTTTTCTTTCTTTCTTTTGCTTTTGTCGAAATTTCGTTTAAGGTGACAGTCTTATCTTGATCTTCATTGTACTTCCATCTTTACGATTATCTTTTCTTTCTTTCTTCTTTTTCTTTGGCTTCAGTTGACTTTTCTTTCGTCACTTTTTTTTTTTTGCTCTCGCTTCTCAGGTTTCACTTTTATGAGTCTAATTTTCCCTTTACTTTGAACGTAGGATCCTATACGCCAGTCATTTTATTTTTATCTTCAGTTCTGCTTTCGTAATCTTTCACTTTCTGCTACCCCTCATTCTTTTCCAGAATTCTACTTCCTTCTTCCTTTTCTCTTCATAATTCTTCCTATGCTGTAACATAACGTTGCACAGGGAAAATAAAAAGCCAACCCTGCATAACAGTCACTGGTATTGAGAGCCTCGTTTTAGTTCCAGACACAATTTCATTGCCTAGTACAAAATAATTTATTGTCTTTATTGTTTTCCTGTTTATATTTTTTTTTATAAAAAATTAGACATTGTCTTGAGTACGCCATATATTACAAAACTTTGTTTGATATATAAAAAGAGAAATTAGATTTATAGTCAATCGTCTGTCATCCATCACCATGTGGTAAACACGATCAATGTTTTCCTCGGTGGTGGCAATTGCAGGACGTCCAGACCTTGAGCGATCTTCAAGAATCTACCCTCCTTCTAAATTCTTCTGCCCACTTTTGCACTGTTGATAAAACTGAAGCCGTTATCCCCTAATGTAACAAGCATGGGAGTATGAATATCCTTAGGGACTAAACCCTTTTTCTGTAGATACTTGACAGCACTACGATATCAAACTGTTTTCTATTTTCAAGAGAAGACGTTACTAGTTACTTTTGAGGTCTTTTTGAACAGTCAAATGTCAGTTTACCTGGAGATAAACAATGCAGTTATTAATAAGAAGAGTTGAAATTAACGCAAGCAAGATACCACAGCTCTACCATTACTCCTTCATAGTCAGCCTAATAAATTTTCAGCCCACCCTCATGTAACATTGGGAGCCGAATGGTGTAATTGTTCATTCGATTGATTTTTCATGTAGTGATTAATTGAAAAGTGACTTGCAGCATTTACCTGGGGTTCGAATATCGTTTAATGTTGCTAGAGTGACAAGCACAACTATCTCAGCCAATAGGTGAACCATTTATTGAAAATAATCACTGATTATTCTTGGCCCATATCTGAGTAAATTTGTAGACATTAGTGATATAGAAACGAAAACACTGGACCAGAACTTTCCTCCTAATTGACATGCAATAGACGCATACAACATACATGTGTTTGGAACTATACGCACATAGATTCATGTGGATTTAATCGATCCGTAAATACTGATGTCTAAATAGGCAAACATGTGCAACGTAATGCAGTCTTCGTAAGTAATCGATAATGAGCACAGTACTACTGTAATGGCGCCATTGCTATTCTGGATTTAGCTTACTTTAAATGAATCAATATAAAAATAAATGGTACACCCATATTACACAACCAGGGGCGTTCACACACGTACACACATACACACACACTCACGCGTACGCGTGTGCCGACATAATAATAATCAAGAAGTTCTTTGCATAATATATAGTTTTCGTTGTGTAATGTTTGATGTATGTGATGGAAATTCGTCAGTGAACTAAGTGCATTGACATGGAATATATGTTAAAAAATAAATATTAATTTACACTATTTACATGCGAACTATTGTATACAAGATGGCGTACAAAGTAATCCATCTAGAGAAAGGAAAATCCTGGTTTTAAACCTCCGCTGCCATCATTGTACACAAGATGGCGTACAAAGTAATCCAGCTAGAGAAAGGAAAATCCTGGTTTTAAACCTCCGCTGCCATCATTGTACACAAGATGGCGTACAAAGTAATCCAGCTAGAGAAAGGAAACTCCTGGTTTTAAACCTCCGCTGCCATCATTGTACACAAGATGGCGTACAAAGTAATCCAGCTAGAGAAAGGAAACTCCTGGTTTTAAACCTCCGCTGCCATCATTGTACACAAGATGGCGTACAAAGTAATCCAGCTAGAGAAAGGTTTAAACCTCCGCTGTCTTGCGGTCATATCCAAAACACGAAGAGGGCTATGGAAGTAAATCCAAACAGAAATCTCCAAGTGGAGCCCCAAAGGCGCTTGATTGTCAACTCTAACAATTTTCTGGCAATTCCTGCGGCTAAACTGACTCCAAATTTAATACCCTGTATTCCTTTGTATCTTGTCGGTTTAGCCGAGATCTGGGGTATGTTGTCCGGACAGCGCATGACCTCAAGATACCATCGGCTCAGGCCTGCGTCATAGAGAAGTTACTCCAGTCTCAGCACCAAAAAAATGGATTTTTTTACTAAACTTGGTGTTTCCTTTATCTCGCAAGATAAACGAATGTCTACTATTTTCCTGTTCATTGTTGTACAATAGTCCGCTTATAAATAGTCTAAATAAGGATAAATCCTCATAACAGAAATTCATACAGAAATAATTATTTGTTTATAAAATATATGCATTTTTCTCATTAGCCTTATTAATTTACCTCCCTATATAGATAGATAGATATGAATAGACCGATATATATATAAACAGAATGTCTCATATCGAGAATATTCCACATTGAACATGAAGAAAAATTAATTATTTTTAATAATATGTAAAAATCTCCACTTTCACCTGAAGACGGTTGCGAGACCAGACCAGAAACACGTGTCGTGAAATTATGTAAAACAAAGTATAATATTTTTTCTCAATAAATCCACATTACAACCAAAAACGTTTGCGGCACCCCTCTTCTTTTTTATATATATATATATATATATATATATATATATATATATATATATATGAACGGACTGAAATAGATAGATAGATAGATAGATAGCATCAAATTCTATGCGCGTCAATGTTGTCACAGTAAAATTAGTATTAAAATTAGTTAAACTTTCAGGATATGCTTATATTTAGATTTGCCATGTGAATTTCAGTTTACAATGGACATTTTTTATAGAATTATTTTTTTTTTTTTTTTTTAAGAATTTATTATAGGAATCGAGGGTTCTCCATGATATTGCAAATAAATATATATATACTCGTGAACTGGAATCAAACATGAATTAAAATTCGGTAGAATGGTAGAATAAGGACCAAATAGGAAACTTTTATAAATGTGACATATTATATTGATATTTATTTTTTAATTTTATATACGTATGTATGCATGTATACATGGGCGTTTGGTCGAATTGTTAAAACATTCGCTTTCCGACCACGAAACCCCAGCTGGAAACTCACTATGGTTGAATTGTAATAAAGCGACATCTTGATGCGACACCTTTAGGTTGGTTCAAGATCTGTGATTGAAATTAGGTAGTTAAAACTGTCCCGAAGCCGTCGATGGTTATGGTAGCACGAAATCACAGAAGCTTTGAGCGTATTGGTGTTTTTCAAACTGCTAATCAGGGCATTACTGATCATGCACTCATGTTTGAAAACCATACCACGGGTTGACCTAAGCCTTGTCAGTGAAAGTGGGTAGACGAAACTGTTGTACTAGTAGAAAGTCACAAGTCATCGTAACCGAGAGCTTAAATGTACTGGCCTTATTCACACTTATGGGCACGCCAGATAATGCGCTACCCCCCTCCAGAAACTGTAACTAAGTTCCGCTTAGCCTAGTTGTAGTTTAAACCGCAGGTGGACTCTGTGGGCGTTAAACAAACACAAATGTACCGGAGAATTTTTCTGCGACATGATTGGTTAGCTTCGCTAGCAGACGGAAAACGAGAGTAGTCAGTTATGTATGAATGTCTCAGACATGCTCAGGTCAAGTGTGATCTCCGATGAAACACTCACTGTGATTTACCGACTACTATGCAGTCTTGTAAATGTGTTGTGTGTGAGTTCATACTTTTGTCGAGGGTAGCTTATGCAAACCATCTGATCATAACAACCAGAAGCAATTCATCTAACCCTAACCTGCCTCATCGTACTTCCGACAACACCTGTATTGTTTGCAGCAAGTTTTGCAGATCATCATCTAGACTAGTGAGGCACATGTTGGTATGCAGGAGAGTTAGATAATAGGCAGATCCAATCAAAGATACAGGGTATATCTGCCATATATGCCTAATACCTGTGAAATAGAATGCGGTTTTCAAGAGTCACCCTAGCGGCCACGGATGCCAAGACGAGACGGAAGCCATCACAAATGTCGTGGTGTGCTCCCTCTGATGAGGCTATTGTGGACTCTTCCACTTACTATAAAGTAGTAGAAAATTAAGCCTCGGGGGAACAGTAATATAAACTGTTCATCTGTCAAACTCTCCGCCGAGGCGGAGAGGAACCCGGACGATTCTTTGCTGAAGGGCAAAATGTCGTCCGGGGAGGTAGACAGGCCCTGAACCCGTTTATACGGGTAAAAAGGGAATATTTTTGGCCGTGCTTACGGGCTCGGAGAACCCACGATAAACCGGTCTTGTGTCACATACGACCCACTTGGGAGGGGGCGTTAAATATAACAGTGATACAGACTGTTCTTCCGAGGCTGTTCTTGTGGAACCCGGATACAGACTGTTCTTCCGAGACTGTTCTTGTGGAACCCGGACGAGTCTGTGCCGAAGGGCAGAGTTTTGTCCGGGGAGGTAGACAGACTCGAACCTATTTATGCGGGTTCTACGGGGATTTTTTGGCCGAGTCTACGGGCTCGGATGATCCACGTTAAACTCAGCCTTGTGCCACATTTACCCTTGTGGGGGGGTAATAAATATCAACGGTGGTATGGATTGAACGTTGGTCAACCGACACACATTCCCAAGTCGTGTAACACACTTTTGTTGTATTTACTGTCCAATACACTATTTATCTGCAGCCTCTTGTTTTGTTATTTCTTAACTATTACTTGGTTACAACAACAACTAATGCCAGGGATGACGGAGCCGCTCTTATCTGAGTAACGTATGGCAATCACCCTGTATATATATATACAGATCGCCTTGGCTCATAAGAATTAAATTATTTCAAAGAGATACAATATTTTCTTTCGCAGTGAGATTCACTCTGTACAAGGCCAGGGCGCCACTCGATGTAGAGGTTTACAGAGTAAGGGGCATAGTTTATATAGTTAGGTGGGGAAGATAATGGTTAACTCTAGACTTGAACAATTGTAGTGATCGCAAAGATGTCATTTTGGGTGACAGTTCTAAAGAAGCTGCTCAAGTGGAACATATCTTTCTTACCAATGGAATACGGAGGGAATAAACATCAGAAAACAATACATTTCATCCATAAAGCCTTAAAAAAACCTGTAGACCTTCCGATATACTACAAAAATTAAAAACCGCCTATCTCATAATTACTAATAGCAACAATCCTATGAAATCCGAATCTCAAACCACTAATGTAGTTGATGAATTCTACTGTCCATTACAAGGTTGTGGTCCATATAATAAAGAGAAAACACCAAACGAATGCATTGGCCACACGACAAGGTATATAAGCATACGTCTGATAAAGTATTTAAACATTCATGCACAACTTCCTGCACCCATGAGAAAAATCCTTGTAGATAACACTGTCATTTTATAAACATCTAATTTAAAGATAATAAAAACATTTTTATAAAATGCAGACTACTGACCTACGGTTAACAATAAGAGACACATAAGAGAATCTTTATAAATTTATGGTTTTTCTATTTATTAAATTAATAAAGTTTTCCTACTTGTTCCCTATTTAATAATTCTGTCCAATTTAGTTCATATTTTCCAACTTTATATATATATATATATATATATATATATATATATATATATATATATATATATATATATATATTACCATGCCATGCGTAATACATGCATTATGTGTCTTTCGATGACTGACTAGTCAGATTTTTTTCCCGCAGTAGGCTGCCATTACTTTCTGCGGTAGACCAGTCACTATCCAAGGCTATAGAATCCGGTTTGTCCTACCTGGAGCGAGAAGAAGAGGATTCATACCTTTCCCACGTAAGTCAATGTAATAGATTCGACTGGAATTCGAACTCGGCTCTCCGATTCCTCAATACGAGCCGCTATCCATTACTACACCGTCCCTACCCTACAGTAGTGTTCTCGTAAAATTAAGTTTCATGGCGGAGTCTCCATAACTACTGAAGAAAGGCGAGATTTATCAATATAAATTTCTCTACCATCTCCTCTTTGCTTTAGAGTGCCAAGTTTGAAAAGGGTCGTAGGGCAGCACATGTTCTGCGCCAATAGCAGCAGTGCTGTGTCTTGGGCAAGACAGCTTGACGGAATACGTCCATCTTCAGGTTGGCTTTGAATTCTGAGTTTCTATTATCCCAGACTAGCTGCCATGCCAAGGCGAAAGAAACCAGTTTGTTCTGCTATTTAATCCGCAGCTGGAGGAAAACAGCCATGCCTTTTTTTAAGGGGATTAGCAGAAATTGAAGAAAACAGAATATAGCTGGAATTGAATTCAAGGTACGCCGACGTCAGTTCCAGTGTTAATAACTGTTCCAAGATCTGCGCTTATTTTCTACAAATATTCAGTGATCATCCACATTTCACGCATGAACCAATTTGAAACATGTGTATTAACTTAAATTCAAACGATGATGTAAAAACTCTAAAAGCCTTTTTAATTAAAATTAGCGGCATAAAGAGTTTTTTGCATAAAGAGTTTTTTGGGTTTGTGTGAAAAGCCCCAATAGGTCTTCAGAGCATTCTGTTAGCCCAAGGAATTATAGAGATATCATTGATCAGTTTTATTAATGATAACAAAGTCCAGACAAGGAATTCGAAGCATTCTTTAGAACCAAGGAGCCACCATCATGGCGATATCATTGGTCAGTTTTATTAATGATAGAAAAGCCCAGATAGGAATTCAGAACATTCATTAAGCTCAAAGAATTACCTTCATAGAAATATCATTGGTCAGTTGTATTGATGATAGAAACGCTCACATAGGAATTCAGAACATTCATGAGGCTCAAAGAATTACCTTCATAGAAATACCATTGGTCATGGTTTATTAATGATAGACAAAGAACAACAATATTCGCAATAGTCAACTGCTTAAATAAGAGCTGCTCAAGTTTACATAGAAACGCTATTTGTCAGATTGCAGTTAAAATAAGCAATCCAGATTTATTTTAGATCATCACCTTTCGATGTAGTAGTTTATTTTGTATTATATTCCGCGATTTATTTACTTGTTTCTCGCACTATCGTTTCTCTACTTTTTCCACAGTTGCATTCATTGTTTTTTTTTTTTTTCTTTATTTACTTTTATTTACAGACCATAATGGGATTAAATGGGAGCCGGCCTGTGTGTTTGGTGGGCGAGAATTGATCATATGGTTTTGTTTGTGTTAAAAAGCCTCTATGGACTTTTGTATATTTTTCTTGAATTGTGGAAATCTGGTTATTTTTAAGGTGCCCAAGCATATGCGTGTACGAACGTGTAAGTAGGCGTGTGCACCAGGATAAAATGTGTACGTGTACACATTGTTACGCTTATGCACGTGCCAATGCATGTTTGTTTTTATACCGTAGATAGTTTCGTTTGTTTCAATGTACTTATGTGTGGGGTTGGTAATAATGCTAAGCCATAAAGAAGCAACGGAATCGGAGAAATGTAAACATATGTGTGTGCAGCTAAGTCATTGTATAGATTGATAACAATATAGCTGACACACACACACACACACACACACACACACACACACACACACACACACACACACACACATATATATATATGAAGAAATATAGTTTTAAGGTGTGCTGTATTTATGGGATAAAGTGCTCAATATCTGAGATAGAGCGTGTGTAAATATAAAAGTGAACATTGAAGTCAACACTCAGAGGTGACAGGCTGTTTCATGCTAGACGCAGGGGACCTGACGATTGCGTCTAGCATGAAACAGACTGTCGCCTCTGAGTGTTGACTTCAATGTTCACTTTTTATACACACACACGCACACACACACACACACACACACACACACACACACACATATATATATATATATATATATATATAAAATTTAAAAAAAATCAAATTAATAATCCACAGTTCTTTATTTTTTATAAAAGGTGCTTCATACAAAGAGCTTTATATTATAATATTTAAAAATATATTTTCATTGCGACACAGAAATTACTGTTCCGAATAATAATAATAATAACAACACACACACACACACACATATATATATATATATATATATATATATATATATATATATATATATATATATATATATTTACGTATGTAATGATGAACGAAAATCTTGTAACCAGTGACATGGGTTGAGAATAACATATATTGCCTCATAACAATTTCGTATTCCAGGGTCCGGTAAGCCAGTATCAAGTACTTAATTTGATGTATTAAATGGTCAGGTGATTTCTGAAAGCCTGTGTGTGTGTGTGTGTGTGTGTGTGTGTGTGTGTGTGTGTGTGTGTGTGTGTGTGTGTGTGTGTGTTGTGTGGGGGAGTATCTCTCTGAACGAGGAATCGGTGAATCGAGTATGTTATGTTCACTTTCGTACATATATCTTTAAGAAAAGTAGGAAACCATCCTTCTTACCTGAGCTATGGTTTAAATAGCCTTGGTTGGCAACCAGTTTATAATGACAGTTCTATAATTCAAAACCAGTTGGACGTGGAGCAGGCAAATACTCTCGGTGAAATTTACTTGCTACGGAAACCGTAACAGCGCCATCACCTAACGTAGTGAGGCTGTCGCCTTATAATTTACATGAGACAACTACTTGAGGCAACTGAAGTGAGAGAGAGAGAGAGAGAGAGAGAGAGAGAGAAAGAAAGAGATAGAAAGGATGTGAAAGAGTGAAAGAGAGAAAGATAGAGATAGAGAGAGCTGTCGGTAGTGGTCCTACCATTGACAAAAACACTGAACGGCCATGATATATTGTTGCGTGTAATGAACGAAAGATTCTTCCCCTGCCCATGTACGAGCCGACAAAAGAGCTACTGTAGCACAATCTATCGATATGTTTTAATAAAGATAACAAAAGAAGGCTTCACAATACAAGGGATAACAATTTTCGCTTAGTCACAGATCAGACAAACTGCTAACCAATATCTATTGCAGAAAACGGCGAGAGTTTGATGAGGACTTAATGAAAGAAAGTCCCTTTCTCCTGTAACCGTCGTGCTAGACAATTTTTCTCTCGCGAATCTATCTTACAAATATATAAGTCTATCATTTGTCCATGCATTTGATATTGCTGTCATATCTGCTTTAGCGCTTCTGCTTTATATTTAGAGATTCTTGATATAATCGAAAAAAGATTATGCAATAATATCGGCCCTAACCTGGTAACTCGGCTCCAGTCACTTTCCCCGCCGTGTCTTCACAGTCCCTTTTCTAAAAAATATGTTCATGGTAATTGTTCTGATTAGCTTTCTTTGGTTTCGGTACCTCGATTTTATGAATTTAAGGCCAGTACTAGATTGGCAGATAGGTCTCATCCTTTTACAATTAAAATGGTTAGATATAACTGAAATTTCTATGCTAATTCTCTCCTGGTCTCTTACTTCCCAGTAAGTGATCTCCAAAAATTTAATTCCAATATCAATCGTTATCTTCTGTCTTCTTAATTTCTGTTCTTTTATTGTTCTCTCTCCTTAATATTTATTTCTTTTTCTCAGATCCTTTGCACTCAGTAACCCCTTGCGTCTTAGTGGCTTTATTGACTTGTTTGGGGTGAAATGATTAAAAAAAAAAGAATAATATGAACGTGTGCGTCGTTATCTTTATCTGTAACAGGGTGCGCGGCAGAGAAAAAGTCGGTGAAGGAAATGTGATAGATTTGGAAATGTCAACCTATCATTCCTGATAGGTCGCATAATACGTACTACGAAATGGTTGAAGATAGGTGCATCCCTTCATGGCAACAGTCTTCTATAGCGACAGTAGTATATTTCATACGAATACTCCCCCCACGTCACAGTGCGCAAGTTGTACGAGAATGTATCGAAGAAAATGAAGAAGGATTTATTGCTTGAACCCACTAAATCCCCAGATCTAAGTACCATTGAATACATATAGGATGTATTCAATAGTGTAGTACTAAACGTATCGAGAAAATTGTTCGAAAATAATGGTTCGAAAAACTAGAATTGTAAATTTTTTGAATGAAAATTAATCGAAAGGACACTTGTAGTAAATGATAATTATTCGAAATACTTATGTTTGAAATACGAACGGGGTCTTGCTTTGAGAGAGTCATTGCTGATTTACCTAGAAATACCTAGAACTAATAACGCCCTTGAAGGATGGCATATGGCTTTTTTGCAGTAAGTGTCATCCCATCATCCCACAATATGGAAATTCTTAGACGAAAAAGAGAAAAGGACTTGCAAACAATTCACATTGCAAAAGCAAGAGAAGGTTACCAAAATACAGAAGATAACGATTGATATTGTAATTAAAAAAAAAAAAAGAAATACCGCGACGTAAATAGAAAACTTAAAAAATTAGTGACATACTTTAACGAGTAATTTTCAATAGCTGACTTATTTGCGAACAGTATCATACAAATTAAGGTTAGAAGAATTTTTTCTTACTAGATTGTGTTATTAACAATATTTGTATTTCGAATAATCATCATTCGTGTATTTCCTATTTTAATTTTTACATTTTTATTGCGATAAAGAATCTTGCATTTCGAATAATTATCATTTATTATAACTGTTCTATCGATTAATTTTCATTCAAACAATTTACAATTCGAATAAATGTTTCTGGAATAATTGTTTTCGAAGAATTATTTTCGTACAATGTTCACATAATCGTATTAACAGGTTCACTCTGCAGAAACGCCACTACTTTACTTGCAACTTGCTGTTAATATTCCAGTCCCAGAGGAAACTTTTATTCGGGATGTAGAGACCATGCCTGTTCGTGTTATAGGTGTTATGTAATCCTTAGATAATCATCATCTAGCAATAAGTTATTAACTCATCAGTATATGCACACACACACACGCACACACACACACACACACACACATATATATATATGTGTGTGTGTGTGTGTGTGTGTGTGTGTATATATATATATATATATATATATATATATATATATTTCGATTATAGGTGCAGTTCAATTTATAATTACATGAATCATTCATACAAAAACAAATATAGAGGTTAATGATTTAAATGGCGAGAATACATCTTCGCAAACAATTTTAATAAAGTACATTAACCCCGAACCTGTATATGAATATGATCCCTGTTTATAAATTTCAGTTTCATAAGGTCTTTTTTAATTTTTACAAGCTTTCGTCTGTTCTTACAATATAGTTCATGCCACATTGACGGAAAACCTACCAGTACAAAAGAATTCCCTTATTACTATATTTGTACAAAAACGCACAACCTTAAAATTTAAAATTCAAACTCAGAGTTGCGACCGCACGTTCCAAAACAATAACACATTTCTCATAGCATTTTTCGGATTACATCTCTATTTTCGTTGTCCTCTTATTACCGAGAAGTAAAAAACAAGAACAAATCTATTCTCATACCTGAGGATGTCTGTAGGAACAGACGAAAGCTTGTAAAAACTAAAAAAGACCTTATGCAACTGAAATTTATAAACAGGGATCATATCATTCATATACAGGTTCGGGGTTAGTGTACTTTATTGAAATTGTTTGCGAAGATGAATTCTCGACATTTAAATCATTAACCTCTATATTTGTTTTTTGTATGAATGCTTCATGTAATCATATATATATATATATATATATATATATATATATATATATATATATATATACCGGGTGTAACAGCAAAATTTTCCAAATCGTGTCACAGCATAATTATCTATCCCACAAAATGTTCAATACCTGAAAAAAAAAAAAAACACTAAACTAATTTAGTTTCTTTTTACAGGTTTTCAGATAAGACATTTAGCCATCTTGACGCCATTTGTCGTAAGAATCACTGAAAAATCATTTGAGTTTTTCATTTCTAAGGTACAACGGTTCAGAGCTTATTCTAACAATCTAATTTTGCTGTTATATATTTTGCTATATATACACTATCTATCTATCTATCTATCTATCTATCTATCTCTCTCTCTCTCTCTCTATATATATATATATATATATATATATATATATATATATATATATATGGGCGTAATACTTGGGGCTTTGGGTTATAATATAAAGGTAAGTCAAAGCTGAAAGAAGAGAACACGCGCTTGTCTGTGCTTGCAGGAGTATCTAAAATATTAAAAATTAAGATGGATAGATTTTATGCCATTTGGCTACATTTATTAGCATCAATTCCGGTAATCTACAATTTATAAAATACAAATTTCTTTTCGTTCTTTTCTATAACGGCCAGTCGTAATGTCCATGACATGTGTATAGAATATACTAGTAGTAATAATGAAATGAGTTAAAACCAAACGAATGAAATGTTAAATTATTACTAATTTTTGACTCTTACTTATTTCTGTTTTTTTTTTGTTGTTTTTTTTAACCACATCTCAAGCGTTGCATGATTCCCTAATCTTCGTAATCTCCACTTCTTACCACTGTCTCTTTCGCTCATACCACACATCTAATTCATCATTACCATTTCATTATTTCAATTGTTCGGACTGTTATCCTCATCTTTATTGTCATAGTCACAACGTTTCGGCCGTTGTACACTCCGGCCTTCTTCAGGTGATTGGAATTTCGAACCGAACCGTTTATTTCGTCCACCGGTGTAGATTGCTATGCCTCTTCCGGATGTCTTAGTTATTTCCCTTTAACTCAACACTCCACTTTTTTTTTTTTGTATCACCCCTGCTGTAGATTGTTATTGAACTGACAATTATTTGGGTCTAGTCACTAGATCTAACCAAAGTCTTTATCCACATGGCCCAGTAAAGAACCAAATATATATATATATATATATATATATATATATATATATATATATATATATACAACAACTTGGAGAGTTGAGTTAAAGAGAAACAAAACGAAACTTCCGGAAGAGGCATGGCACATGGAACTAGAACAATCTAGCCCGGTGAACGAAACAAAGGGTTCGGTTCGAAATTCCAATAATCTGAAGAAGGCCGGAACGTACAACGGCCAAAACATTGTGAATATGGCAATGAAGATCAGGATAACAGTTTGAATAATGTAAATAATTATAATGCCACATCTCAGAGATATAGACAGATTATCATTTCAGCTGTAATCCCCTCGAGCCTTGCCTTGGGTCAAAGTTAATAAACTACAAAGGTTATCAAGTATATTCATTGTTCTATACAACTGAGATAAACGTCAGCATTTTTACACATAAAAATATTCAAATTTTCTTAAGAAATATATTTGAAAGTAATGTTCATTTGTTTTACTCTTTTATGAATTCAGTAGCTTACGACCATATCACGTTCAATCTACCAGTTGCCGTACGATCATTAAAGCTAAGCAGCGTCGAGTTGGTCAGTACCTATATGGGTGACTGTTTGGGAATACCAAGTGCTGTAAGCTTGGATATGAAGGGAGTGTAATGGATAATGAGAATTGCTCGAAATGATTAATGGGAATGCCGTCTTTTTGTTAGGCATCTTTCGTTAATCTAATGAACCTTCAGTTTTCTGTGTCTTTTTTTTCGTCGTCTGTTACTCTTCCCCGATAGTTAAATTTCGGTGGTTACTTGATTTTGATATTTCCAATCTGTAACGGTCTGAAGGCCACATAAACCCCCCCCCCAAAAAAAACACCGGTTCCTGTATGATCACCGAAGTTAAGTAACGTCGACGTTGGTCAGTACCTAGATGGGTGACCGCTCGGAAATACCAGGCACTGTAAGCTTGAATGTGCAGGTGGGGTAATGGATTGGAAAACCGAGTTCCAATTCCAGTTGGGTTCGTTATATTCACTTACAGTGCAAATACCCTTGGAACAGGTATGAATCCAGCACTTCTCCCCCAGCTATGGGTTAATTAGTAAAACTTATACCACTAAACTCTGATCTCCCCAAAATATTCTGACATTCTAAAAATATTTTCTAGCTATAATTAGCATGCAAAGGGTTGATAAGCCGTAAAAAAGAACCTTTCAATCAATTTTTTCTCTGATCTCCACTACACCGCTATAATGCCCTTGTAGTATTATCATATGAAATAACATTTGAATTTCCGAAATGGAGTATCGTCAATTAAGTTATTTTCGCGATGAGACAAACTCTCAAGTATAAATTTCAAATCTAACCGGAGACTGTTGCTTAATTAACCTCCCCAGAATTAAGAGTTGCATTAAAAGCATCAGAATAAAATTACAAAATAAATTATATTAAATAAAATGAATGACTGACACTTTAAGTGGAAATAGTGCAAATGAGCAGTCAGTGTAATTATGTACTTGCAAAACCTAGGATAATCCCAATTCTAACTACAGATCAAGAGGCAGGCAGATAAAGCAAAAAATCACACACATATACACAAGCATGCGCATGCGCGGACACCGGCGTGATGTTAGTTTCAGGTCTGTCATCTTTAATCTCATTTGTTCTTAGTGAAATAATTTAACTCGAGAGACTTCCGAATATGACCTTTTGAGGGTCTTCCATTAAGGGTGGTAAAACTATCGAACATAAAAGGTTGGCAGAATGGTTTGAGCTAGGGCTAGGAAGAAGATAGGGAGGAATAAATGGCCGCCGTTAGGTTTGGATGACGGCTAACTATCTGGATGAATAATGGATGAGCTGGAGACTTGTTTAGGCAAATTCCGTTGGAAGCAGACAGTGAGAGAATGACGGAGAAAAAAAAAGTGTAAAGGGTAACAGGAATAGGGAGAGAGGGAAGTAAGGAAGAGAGCGACAAACAGAAACAGGGATGGAATGAAAAAGTGACTAAGAGAAAAAAAATAGTCGAAAAGAAAAAAGATTCAGGCCAGATTGTTGATTTTGGAGGACAAGAAAGATAGAAAAAAAGAAGATAAATAGAACGAAAGAATAAAGAAGAAGAAAAAGGGAATAAAGGAAAGTGATAGAGAGAAATTCGAACATAGAGAAAAGCAGAGGGAGGACTTAAAGAAATACTCAAAAAAGAAAGCTGCAAAAAGAAGAGAGAATAAGTAAGATTTTTGGAAATGAAAAACATGAATGAATGACAAAACAGGCATCTAAGAAAAAACAAAGAACTCAAGAAAAAGAGTTATGAAAACGCTACTACTACTATTACTACTACTACTACTACTACTAATAATAATAATAATAAGATGATGATGATGATGATGATGATGATGATGATGATGATGATGATTTTAGAACGTGGATATAATGCGTTCAAAAGATGAACATGTAATATAAGCGAAAAATATCAGGACTTTGAACAGAAGCACAAGAAGCTGGGCAAGATGAAGTCTAGGGTATAATAACTGGATCATTTGGAATGACGTCAAAAACAATAGCGAATAGATTGAAAGAAAAAATTGAGCACGGACACAAATTACAGGAGTTTGGGAAAATTCTGAGAATGATGCTGTAAATTTGGAGAGAGAAAGATGCTGTAAATTTGGAGAGAGAAAGATGCTGTAAATTTGGAGAATGAAAGATGCTGTAAATTTGGAGAAAGAAAGATGCTCTATATTTGGAGAGAGAGAAAGATGCTCTATATTTGGAGAATGAAAGATGCTGTAAATTTGGAGAAAGAAAGATGCTGTAAATTTGGAGAAAGAAAGATGCTGTATATTTGGAGAGAGAGAAAGATGCTGTAAATTTGGAGAGAGAAAGATGCTGTATATTTGGAGAATGAAAGATGCTGTAAATTTGGAGAGAGAAAGATGCTGTAAATTTGGAGAGAGAAAGATGATGTAAATTTGGAGAAAGAAAGATGCTGTAAATTTGGAGAGAGAAAGATGCTGTATATTTGAAGAAAGAAAGATGCTGTAAATTTGGTCAGATGTTGTCTCTTTGACCTCGACAACAACCACCAGATTCTGGGATGAATATGTAAATTGTAACAACTTTTATTAAGTATAAAATCTAAAAATGAGAAAAAAAAAACTGTATGGATATTTTAGGAGACAAACCGAAGAAATTGAAAATGAAATGACATAAATGATCGTGAAGAGGACATCTTTAAAGAGAAATCGAATGCCACCTAAAGGTGACACTGAACAATTATCTTGCTTACCGCCACATAACACTGAATCACCGGTTCTCGCATGGTCACTGAAGTTAAGCAGCGTCAAGTCTGGTCAGTATCTAGATGGGTGACCGCTTCGGAATACCAGGTACTGTAAGCTTGGATGCGCCGGTGATGTAATGGATAATGGCTCGGAATTGTTAATCGGTGAGATGAGTTCCAATTCCCGTTGGGTTCGCTATATTCACTTGCGTGCAAACAACAAAACGTATGGATCCAAATCTTCTTACCCACTCTACGGGTTAATTAGTAAAACTTGTATCACTAAACTATTATTATCTCCCCCACTCCACCCAAATTCTTAGACTCTAACAATATTTTCTGGCTTTAAATAATCTACAAAGTGGTGAGAAGTCGTAAAAAACGAATCAATCAACCAATTATGAAGACGAACATTGGTAGGGCTGAGCAAAAATAGCAAATGCAGACTGCTTGGAGAGTGTTCGTCATATTACGAATGATTGCAGCAAGTTGTCTTAAAAGGGGTGCAAAATGGGTATATAGCTCAGTGGGGAGAATAATCTCTTAATAATGAAAACCAATCGTATATTTACAAACCGTAATCTGTCATAAAGAATTAAAAACAAAATTCTTTGGGTCTTTTATTATGAAAAAGTATCATAATCTCTAGGCGGGAAAACCAGACCTAGTTTGTCGCAAACGAAGAAAATTTCCCAATGAATTTCATTATTTCAGTAGAAAACAGAGTTAAACTGAAATAAAGTCAAAAACTAAAAAACAAAAAAAAAGTAGACCTCGAGATAACTAAAAACGACAGTTCTACCTATTATTTCTGGAGTACTTGGAATAGTACTTACAAAAATTAGTATTTTCAAAATGCTGGAATAACTAGAATTAGGAGGAGCGAACGATTCCTATAGACGACTGCATTATTAAAAATACCAAGAATAAAAAATGCCAGTTGGAATAAGGAGGAAACTTGCTGTCACTTGATCTCCAGAAAAGTAACCAACTTCTACTCATTGATCGGTCTGTTAAACATGTGAAATGTAGGACTACAAACTCACCACGCTAAATGGTGCTACCGTGGTTTGTGTACGCTTTTGTGAGATGGAGCTGCTAACCTCTCGACAAATCGGTTTTAAATTCATAATTGGCCTTCTAATAGATTACTTGCCAGCCAAAGTTAGCGCTTGCTCGGTTATTTAACCCACAGCCGGAGTTAGGTGGTGATAAATATGGATTTATACTTTTCCTAAAAGTATTTGTACAAAAATGAAAGCGACGGCCTCGACTAAAATTTGAACTAGGCTCGTCATTCGCACTCTTCCAGCGTCTAGGCTAAGCGCGCATCCCTTATTTCCTTATTTATTTCTCGTTCATTCCCCCAGTTCACTTGTTTCATAAATTGTAAAATCATCAACATCATATTTGTATGACTGGCCGCTCGTATCTGAGTACAACTGTCTGCTTTGAAACCAAGCTAATCCCCGCTGCAGACGCATGCTTAGGTACATTTGAAACTCTCAAGACTTATTCACAATTTAATTATGTTAATTTAGAAGTTTTTTTTTAAATCTTGGTAAATATATTGTTTTACATTTTACCCACTCCCACATATATAATTTTAAAAAATTTAGAAAAATTAATTTTTGCTCCCCGTAATTTTTATATTAACTAAAACTGAGAAAAAAAATTTTGTAAGTTCTTTTAATAAAGAGAATTACATTTTGATGAAAAATGGCTAAAAATGGTGCAACAATTTCAAAACAAAAACTACTTTCAGTCAATTTAAATTAGTCTTAAAATTCAGTATAATTGGAAATACTAAAATTTAATCACTTAACTTGAAATTTAAACTAAAATAAATTATCTAACATTATATTTTTACAAATATAATGTTAGAGAATTTAATTCATCAATTCTTTTTTGTAAAATAGGAACACCAGTTATCGAAAATCTACACACAGAATCATAAAATAAAAATTCATTAAAACTAAGATATTATTTAATTAGAAAAGTTTTAATTGTTTTTATGAATAAAATATGGATACTATTGTGCTATGAAAAAAGTTTTTTGATGAATAATAAAATTTACAAGAGTTGTTTGCATTTTTAAAAATTTTAATTAGAATAATTCATTAAATTTTAAGTCTGAAATTTTTGTATTACGTTGTGCTTTTTAGGTGATATTGTTATTAAGTAAAAAACTATATTTTCTAATCTTAAATGGAAAAAGTTAGTAGAATTGATCAAACACCAATATTTTAAAGAACATTTTCAATTTTTTGCATGTACTGATTTTTGTAGATATGGATATTTATACAGAATATCAGAAAATAAGAGCGATAACTATCGTAAATTTAAATTCAAAGTATTTACAATTTAATAAAAAAAATTAGATTATGGAGAATACTTTCTTGAATTTTTAAGATTACTGAGTACTTAAAAATTATATAAAAACCTTATATTCCTCAATTATTTTTACAAATGTTAACTAAAAATCAATGGAAATATTTTGATAATAAAAACAACAGTACAAATAAGTGAAATATTTTTACAGCGTAGAAAAACATAAAAAAGATAAACTTCCTTCTGTCATTAAACTGTGAACACCTTAAATAAACAGCTACCACCATGCTAAAAATGCATTTCGGTGTTGTTTTAAGCTTAAAGTAATATTTATTTCATATCAGATTAATTAAACTTTGAATTAGATAATATTCCACAAGTAGAGTTTTATTTTTGTAAGATTTTTAATAAAGAGAATTACATTCTGATGAAAAATGGCCAAAAATTCATTTGAAATCTCAGGCATGGCGTTTCTTTGATAATACCCCCTCCACACAGGCGTGCGCCTGCGCGCGCACACATACACACAAACACACACACACACATATATATATATACATATATACAGGGTGACCCCAAAAAATGGGAACTTTTTAACAATCCAATAAAACCAAGAATGATGGAAGAAAAATATTAGTAATTGAAACCTTAAAACATGCCATTTATGAAACAATGATGTAATTTTCTTTTTTTAAAAATTAAGTCCTGTAGATGGCGTCCTCCTGTACGAATGCATTTTTGAAATCTGCTGTTGAGATTCCTTATTGACTGCTGCAACATCTCAGCTGTGATACTGTGAATTTCATCTTGAATTCTAAATGGCGAAATGTTTATTTGCTCAAGGTCACTGTCTCGCAGTGTTGCCACTTGCTCATGTCTGGCAATACGCACTTCAAAAATTCCCGTTTTTTTTGTCACCCTGTATATATATATATATATATATATATATATATATATATATATATAGTCAGCGATTCTCTCGTCGAGTTCGACGTATGAGGGTCAAGCAGATCAGTTCCCAGGAAACCGACAGCCTGACAACGGCACATGAGATTTGATTATAGTGGTGAAGGTTTCGTGCAGGATCATCCACACTTTTTGAAGGGCCGAATTCAGAAACCTGGTGCACTAAGTGCCACAAGGTCCCCAAACGACCCTCCGCAGGTTTTGAATTCAGAATTGTCCTTCTCCTAGACCAGTTGCCATCCAAGGCTATAGAACCCAGTCTGTCCTGCTATTTACCCATAGCTGGAGGGAGAAGAAGAGGATTCACACCTTTCCCAAGGGTATTAGCACATAAGTGAATGTGATGGATTCGAAAATTGGTAACATTGGTAAAATATACATTTCTTTCTCCCTTCTCTGCTCTCTCTTTCTCTATATATATATATATATATATATATATATATATATATATATATATATATCTCTCTCTCTCTCTATATATATATATATATATATATAGAGAGAGAGAGAAAGAGAGCAGAGAAGGAGAAAGAAATGTATATTTTACCAATGTTACAATTTTCTAAATGCGGATCTCTTTAATCTTGAAGATTAATAATCAAAATGCAGGTTTTTGCCCCGATTTCAATAACAGGGACGGTGATCCAATAGGAAGCAGATAATCGTTTAAGCCAACAGGTTTGAAGCGCACCAGATAGATCAGATAATTAGCCGAGAGAAAAGGAAGGCGAGAAAAATAAAGAGAGAAGAAGAGCAAGCGTGAAAGAGAGAGAGGGGGAGAGGGGGAGAGAGGGGGAGAAGCTGAGGCATAGAATGAGAAAGAAAATGAAAGAAGACATAAAGAGAGAGAGAGGGGGAGAAGCTGAGGCATAGAATGAGAAAGAAAATGAAAGAAGAGATAAAGAGAGAGAGGGGGAAAACGGGTGGAGAATTCGAAAATTGTAAAAGTGAAAAAAAAAAAAGAAGAAATGTTCATAATTTAGAAGGATAATCGCCCGTTGGACATCACATGACAGCGTACAGGGAAAAAAATGTGAACCGCAACTAAAAAAATTCAAATAAAAAAAAAAAAAACCATCGCAAAGCCAAACAAGCGATAGAATGTAAGTATTCTCAGCATCTTGTTAAAACGCCAGAAGAGTAATATAATGAGCTGATTATGCAGGCACGCAGGTCTAGCCGTAGACAGGAAGAAGTAGAAAGGCTAAAGGGGCAGGAGAAGGGCATTATGGGTTAGAGGCTCGAGACAGACGTTAACGTGTGGAAAGAACAATAAAAATCAGAAGTTGTACGAACTGAAAAACAAATTGGAAAATAAACAGGATACTTAAGTTCACCTGTTCCCTATACAGTAGTTCCTTATTTAACGTTGATTCAGAAATGTTAAGTGAGGACCTCTTGCACTTCACTCTGACTTGTTTGTTTCCTTTGTAATATTTTTCTTTCTCTCGTTCGTTATCAACTTTTGTTTCCCGCGTTTTTTTTTTCTTTTTATGACTTTCAACATTTCTTTCTTTCTTTCTTTTTTCTTTGTCTTTTGTTTTTTGCTTGAAAAGTATTCGGTCCATTAAATTTGTCTCTTCTTTCTTTCTTTCTTTCTTTCTTTCTTTCTCGTTTGAAAGGTATTCGTTTCCATTAATTTGTCTTTTTTCTTTCTTTCTTTCTCTTTCTTTCTTTTTCTTTCTTTCTTTCTTTCTTTCTTTCTTTCTTTGTCTTTTGTTTCTCGTTTGAAAGGTATTCGTTTCCATTAATTTGTCTTTTCTTTCTTTCTTTCTTTCTTTCTTTCTTTTTCTTTCTTTCTTTCTTTCTTTTTCGTTCTTTCTTTCTTTTCTCCTTTTGTTTCAATGTCTTTTGTTTTTCGTTTAAAAAGTATTCGTTCCCTTTAATTCCCATTAATTTGTTTTTTACTTTCTCCTTACTTCCATTATTCTTGCCCCATCAGTTTTTAGGACCACTCTCTCATCTGTAGAATGTACGGACAGCGTAAGTGTTATCGGTGAGAAAAATGGACTCGTTGAGTCCGGTTCAAATTCCGGCTTTGTCTATTGCGTTCAATTGGCGCCATGTCTTTGGTACAGGTAAGAATCCATCTCGTCTCCACTACCAGCTATGGTTTAAATAACAAAGTAGACAGGACTCTCTAACCTTGAGTGACATCCAATCTAGCATGACTATTTTAATTACTAAACCAGGGGAAAAGACAACTATAAACTACTACTTCCATAACTAATAGTAATAGCTGTCTATATTTTTGAGTAATTATTTACACTATTTACATTGTTCGGTCTGTTGTTCTCATCTTTGTTGCCATATTCACGACGTTTCGACCGTTGTACACTCCGGCCTTCTTCGGGTGATTGAAATTTCGAACTGAATCCTTTATTTCGTCCAACGGGGTAGATTGTTCTGCTTCCAGGCTCTTCCGGAAGTTTCAGCAATCTATTTTTAATTCAACCCTCCAAGGTTTTTGTTCACCTCAGCTGTAGACAGATATTGGACACAAGTCAAATCACTAGATTCAACTTAAGGAATCAGCGCATATACTAGGCTACAAAAATATTCTACGGCCAAGCCTAGAAATTAATACAATATAGGAACTAGTAATACGGAGTGCTGGAGAAAAACAATAATAATAACAAACTTGCAATGGTAAAAAAAATGTTACTGAGACATTAGGTTTACAAGTCCCCAAAATTCAAACATTGATGTCCCCAAAGGACAAATGGCCTAGTGGATAAAAACGTTGTTTGAATCCAATAATTGACCTCTTGTAATAATGTTGTTGTGCTAACGAATCTCTGCGAATATTCCATCCACATCTTTGGAGAATCCAGAACAGATCATGACATTTATATAATGGATCACGTGATTCCACAACGTGTACTTAGTAACATTTAGTGACATTTTTATTTAACAACGTCATATAATTGGAACTATCCTTTGATCGCATTATCCATAACCATCTTGGTTGCACCAGGTATTAAACTATTTAACATTTTTCCTCTTTTTCTGTTTCCAACTCACTGATGTCTTTTAACATTTGCGTAATTTATCCTTATATTGTAATTTCCGATATTATTTTGTCTTTTTTTTTATATTCTCTTTTCTTTTCCAGGAGTATTTTTCTTTCTTCTCGATTTCGCTCTATTTTTTTCTTCCAATGCCTTTCTATTCTACTTTCTTTCTATCAACTTTCTTTCATTTATTTCGCTATTACGCCATATATTAGTTTTTTCTCATCTTCGCAGGTAAAATCTGTTCTACCCTATCACTCTTTCTTTCTTTCGCTCAAAGCCTCTTTTTCTTCTTTTTTTTCTTGTAACCTCATCATCACCCCTCTACCACGTCTTAGTTTCTTATTTCTTTCTTTCCATCTTTTTGTAAGCAACTTTAGAACCAATTGTATATCACTCTCGTCGTCTCTCTTAACATTTTTTTTTTTTTTTTGGTAATTTTGTCTCTAGTTTTCTGTCACATTACACACAGAGAGAGAGAGAGAGAGAGAGAGAGAGAGAGAGAGAGAGAGAGAGAGAGTGAGAGAGTCTCTGTCTCTTTTATTTCTTCTTTTCCCCATGTGTAGTTTAATCGGTTTAAAATCCATCGTCTTATTTGCCTATCAGGTGTTATCATCACTCTGAATATCGTATGAAATGTCCACTTACCTAAAATACCACAAGATGCCTCATTCTGATGCCAGTTCTCTGATAATAATATCTTTGGTATAGAATCCGACCTGTTTAATCCGGCATTGGGACCAGACCATTGCCAGACCACAGAAATGGCCGGATGACGGAAATCACCCATAAAAAGCCTTATGCAAACATAGTCTTGCCAGCTCATTCTATACATATATAGTGCTGTGTTATCGAAGTTAGAACAATGCTTAAAACAGGAAATAGAATAATCATTAATGCTTCCAAACAAGTTTTTTTTTAATTGTTTCATGCATCTCCTACTCTTTTGAGAGGTATCTTGAATGGACAGATATGCAGTTATGTATGAGAAATGCGCAAGACCGTGTCAGCAAAACACTCTGCTGCTGTCGTCTCCTGTGGAAAGTTGTAAACAACGTGTGGCAATGCTATCGTAGCCGCTCAACGAATTAATGACGGTTGATTAAAAAAAAAAAGTGCCGGACCATGGAATCGCCGGACCACAGAAGGCCGGAATAAAGAGACCAGACTGTATAGCTAAAAGCAAAATTTTATACGAGTAAATTATCAGCTATACCATTATACCATAGGCACTACGTTCAAGTTGCTCAGATGTTTTTAATACATTATCATGAACATCATTATCATCATCAGAACTGTTTCGACTTGAAGGCGCCTCTCATCTTCAGCATGACTGCTCGTTTCCAAACACGCCCACGTGCCCAGGCTCATTTGATACACTCTCACACGTGCATGGATTAGCAGTTAATAAGGACGTCAGAAAGTAGGATCGGCAAGCTGAGCTCGAATTCCTATTCTGTTCACTTTCGCTTTCGTCTCCCTCTATGTTAAATAGCAAGGTAAACTAGGCTCATTATCCTTGGGTGGTAGCTACTCTACGAGAAGGAAAACTGTATACAAAACTGTGGAGAAAGCAACGGCTAACTTTCCCCAAGAAGTTGCAGCAATTCACAGAAAATAAATGTAATCTTTGGAGAACCCTGATCACTTACTTTTTCAAAAGGATATAGCAATAAAAATCTACTCAGTAAGGTATTATCTTAACTCAAACTTTTATTGAATTATTCATTTTCATTAGTGTCACTAGTTATTCATTTTATATTAAATAAAGGAAAAAAGGAAACTTTTCATCTCCTAAGGGACTTTATTAAGGCAAATGTAAGGATCCTAGTTTGTAACAAGTATTTATATACAAGAGTAAAAATGTTATTTGTTTTCAAAAATTTTAAATTTAAGAACGCTCATAAATATTAATTAGGTTAGCCGAAAAGACAGGCAATCTATGGAGGACGCGAAGTACCACAATTCAATGTCTAATAAATGAGTAAATGATGTTCTTGAATTACTTTTTTTTGTTCAAATTAGTATTTAAATTATTTGAGTTTGGGATTAAGTTATGTTATATGTTTTAAATAGCATGAAGTTATGAATTTAACCGTTTTCTCTTTTTACATTTTTATGGTCCTGTATGTTGTTTTGGGAAAGAAGTAATTATTTCAGGAAAGGAGATATTTGAAAAAATCTGGGACGCAGATTTATATTTTGATAAGATTCGATAGCGTCACGCTCGATAATTTTCCTTCTAAGTAAGTTACTTTCTCTTATTTTATATTATATGAGTAATCACTTATTTGGTGCATGGCGTTTTCTCAGAATTATGAAAATTATTTAAAAATATATATTTGCACCTTTTTAGATCTTGAAGACTATCATTATTGTTTATTGAGAAACGTCATTAACATTTCCAGATGGGTTCAGGTGATTTCAATTCTTTGTGCTGTTGTTTTTTTTTATCAAAATGTTTCCATTGATTTATTACTAACATTTCTGATCGCCATCTTGTCTGTAAAAGATGAGACTTGACTCTTTCTTTGTGAAACAGACACCCAAGGAAGACTGTAGAATGAAACGTTCGAAATACAAAGAATGAATTCAGTTGTCCGAATAAATCCCGGTAATTTCGTTATTATATTCAGCAGAACAAATGGTGTTCAATAAATGACTTTAAAAAAAAGATATTATCTTTATCATCAGCCTTTTATGGGTATATAAGCTTCGAAACATGTACTGATTTAAAAACTGACATTTTATCATGTGACCAAGGGCATCATGAAAATAATAAAATTTGTATGAATGTTAGTTATCTGCCCCATAAATACACCTACTAATGACAGTAGTTTCAATGCTTTTCCTTTTTCAGTAGTATTTAGTCGGACTTTGAACTTTTCTGCGCTCCCTCGTAGTGTAAAGGTACCAGCAAAATTTGCAGGCTATTTGTGCCAGTATTATAATGTCATGATTCCTCACCATCTATCTAGTTTAAAATTCCAATTTCCAAAAAAATACTTGTAAAATCCGCTTTATCAACTAAAATTCTATTTGGATTGGTGCATGTCAGAGATGACTATCAATATACTGGGTGTACAAATTTTCGCCATTTTATAATTTTTAATTTCGCGCATGCGCGTTGTTTCTTTTTGCTTTTTGTCGTCTGTACAGTATAGTAGGGTCAGTTGGGTACCGTCTGTCAGAAAACGAGCGCAATAACGCAATTCACTCCGCCAAAAATTTGGAAACGGCATGCTATATTGCTTGGCATTCGCGCCGGGCGCTCCAATACAAATATTTCAGAGTGTTTGGGTGTCAATCTGAGGACAGTACAAACGATTCGGTAAGAGTTGGATGAGTTTAATGGTGATTACGAACGCACAGAATCTCGGAAAATAGGTGTTTTGAGTGATCACTAGTGATGCCAAAGTTATGCCTCCATTCATCCTCCCACGGGAGCTTAAACCTAACACGGAGGCCTACATCAAGTTCGTTGAGGAAGTAATGCTGCTTTTGGCCAAGAGGGTGGCTACTGGAAGATTCTAAGTCTGACAAAAAGACACTGCATCATGCCACACGAAGAGGACAAACCAGTCATGGCTGTCAGACAATTTCAGCGACCACATCACCAGTGTGTGTAATGTAATTGTGGCTTATTTTTTATATGTAAACACATTTACTGATATAATTGTGACTTTTTTGTAGACCTATTCCAGAGCATTTGTGGTAGCATCAGTTTGTGTGATATAATTGTGACTTTTTAACATGTAGACATAGTTCTGGAGCATACGTTTTGATTCCCAAGAATCTATTGAAAATTAAAAATGCCTGTGAAATTGACAAGATAATTAACTCCGATAAAATGTTACTTCCTTGAATTTAAACTGTATGTCTATCCTATTCCTTGTTAAACTAAGGCCGAAAATGACATTAAAACATAAGCGAGAGGAGGGATGGTTTACCTCTACTGGCATCGAGTGAACCATCTTTTCAGTAAATCTAAATTTGCCGTCTTCGTATAAGAAGTTAAACAAATACCATCGTAAACAACATAATTTATAACTGAAGTGTAAATCGATAAGACTTTACTATGTACGATGTGCAATGAGTAAAAATGTAAAAATTGATTCATAGCTGTCAAACAGGTGACTAGAAAAGATACGCAGCCCACCACATATTTGTGTGCTTGTGAGATTAAGATAGGGAGTTAAGTTAGAGAGAGTGAAGAAGTGAGAAGAGAGAGTGATTGTGTGAGTAAGAGAAAGGATGAGAAGAGAGGAGTCTTCTGAGTGAGTGAGAAGTGGAATGAGAAAGGGGAAGAGGGATTGAGCGTCTGAGTGAGAGAGAGAGAGAGTGGAAGGAGGAGAATGTGAGTGAGCGGAGGGAGAAGAGCGTTTGTGAGTGAATGAGAGAGCTGGGAGGAGGAGAGAGTGTGTGCGTGAGAACTGTAGGGAATCGTTTAATGTTCTCGTCTTTCAAACAGCTGACAGTAACTTCCTGCATAACTATATTTACAAAAGCTGTGTTGTTGTTTTTTCAAAGGAATCTCCTTTCTCTCTCTCTCTCTCTCTATATATATATATATATATATATATATATATATATATATATATATATATATATATATAGAGAGAGAGACAGACAGACAGACAGATATGCGTTTATATGTCTGTGTGGGTCTATAAAGTTCAAATGTCGAAATCATGATTTAATGTTTTGGTAAAGGTTTTAGGTGATTCGCATTAAAAGTAAAACAATGAACAGAGACAAACTCGCAGACAAACCCTAGAACATTCAGTTATTCAAACACGGATTATGTGAACAAATTCTCACAAGCTCCCGTGAATGATTAAATTCAAGATATATTTCAAATAAAAATCAGATTGGTTTTATTTGTTGATTTCTATGAAGGGAAATAACTCGTTAGAATCGACGGCGGTCAGACATGTTCAACAGCGTTTTGCTAATTTTAACATAAAAAATTAAAATGGCGTATTTAAAATTATGGCAAAATATGTAGTTTATTGTCCTCATTAATTCTTTCTGAATGTTTTTATAAATAAATTATGATTCTTTCTTACATCTATATTTTTGCTATTTAATCGTGATCTTATTCGTCAAATAAAATACCACAAAGTTTAAGCAATATTCTGTGCCGATCAGATCCCGAACTATCGACAGTCACGGATGTCCCCTCGAGGAGGCTCCGTGCCTTGAGAGAACATTGGGCCTCAAACTCACACCCGACCCAAGTGGAACTCTTATATACGATCCATCGCTAAAGATGCAGGTAAAATTATCGGCTCCCTGTACCACTCCAGTAAGTACCTGACTCCTCATACTATCCTCTACCTTTATAAGAGACAGATCAGCCCGAAAATGGAATACTGTTGTCATATTTGGGCGGGAGCTGCCCAATTCTCACTTTCTAGTCTTGATAGAGTTCTCTGAATCCTTGTTGAAGAAGAATTATTTGCCACCCTCCAACTTCTACCTTATAGACGGGATGCGTCGAGTTTCTCATTGCCCTATGACTACTACTATGAAAAGTGCTCGGACGAACTATATTCCTTGGTTTCACCAGGTCTAATCTTTACGGTTAGGACCCGCTATGCCTCTTACATAGTAACAAACCACCCATATTCTCCATCGGCGAGAAATTCTACTCAAACAGCTTCTTCCCGCGAACCACTGTCTTGTCGAAAAGATTCTCAAGAGGATTTTCACCCGATCACTACAATCTTATCCATATAAACTACCTATTAACTCTACCGTGCCTCGTACAAGTGAACCTTACTGTAAATAAATAAATAAATAAAAATTTACTCATCGATTTAACGAAAGTAAAATATTTTAAACTGCTTTTTTCAGATTTAAATACAATTTCCTTTTTATGATCGGATCAGTTAACTAAAAATCATTTATCAGGATAATGAAACAACTTGCCAGGATAACCGAAAGATATTTAATGTTTAACCGAAAGATATTTAATGTTTATTTTAATAGTCCTGGATATTTCATTTGTATAATAATGGATCCATTATCATACAAAGGAAATATCCAGGACTATTAAAATAAACATTAAATATCTTTCATCACAATATAAATAAAATATTTCATATACTGACAAAATAATAATGTGTATAAATATTCGATGCATATTTTTCGGTATTGTCTTGTTCTATTTAGTCGCAACACATTATGTCGCTTGGACTAATTCAAATTACATCGCTAAAAAGGAAGTCAGGGTGTAGCCAAAAAAATTGTGTCGACTGTGCTGATAATATAACACTTAATTCTTCATAATGACTGAGACTGTCGAAAGTATTTGAACAAAAGCAAAAGGAAATATGATAACTGTTCGATCAATGAATGCCGAATGTTTCCTTATAAGGAAACAGCTGATCTCACCATTAACATATTTTTGTGATGTCAACGAATACTCGTTGCCACTTTCGTAATATTCGTTGTAGTAGAGACTTTGTAATCGCAGATACAACTATAGAAACGCCGTTGAACAATACTGGTGTCAGACGCCTTCGAATAGCACTCACACTAATAATACTCGATAATACTCGCTCAAAATGTAACCACTGAATAGTGATCCGAATAGAGAAATAGTATAGCGGACATGAGTGGTTCGTAACACATCTATTTATCATCTCTCAGTTGCGTCTCTGTCTTTGGGCAAAGTGCACTCAGGGGCGACTCTGTCAAAGGACAGAATGGCAACAGGAAAATTATACGGAGAGGTGCCTAGCCCTGGGAAACAGCTACCCGAAGCCGCGCCCTCTCATTGCACAAGAGAGAAGGATCAGTGCTCGATGGTTGCGGGGGCTGTGGGCAATTTTTGTTCCTAGCCCGAGTGTACGCACTCGGATCCCCACCTTAAAAACTGACCAGTCACAACTCATCTTAGTGGGAAGACAGAGTTAATAGCTAGTGTAGTGAACAGAATAGAGAATAGCGGTCCATATAATAATAGAGGATAGAGAAGAAATACAGAACAATCTAGACGTCGCGCGACTTCCTGCTTATGCATTTCCTCTATGGTCACGTGGTCTACTTAATTCAGTAATGGGATCGCCTATGTTTGCTCACTGGCGATCTAAGTTCAAACTCAATTGTCGGCAGCTCAATTCCTATATAACACGCACACATACACACACACGCGCGCGCATATATATATATATATATATATATATATATATATATATATATATATATATATATATAAATGATATAAAAATCAACTGAAAAGCTCTGTTTGTTTAAATGTATCATGATCAAAGCTGTCCCGGAATTTTTAGGGAAATTAGGCGTTTCCTTACAAGGAAACATTCGGAGTTCACTCACCAAACAGTTATCGTTATTGCCGATTGAAATTTATAAAAATGTTTGTCTTTGAAGAGTTTGTCAGAAAAATAGGCTTAAGTCCAATAATTGAATTCGTTCTTTCTAGGATTAAAGGGAGTTTCCTTCCCAACCTTCTGTTTAAAGTAGCGTGGAAAGTCAACATAATGATTTTATCATGATTTTCCATTCTAGTTAGATGTGCTCATCATTATAGTTGTTGCTGCTGTTGGACATACTTAATCGATTTGTTTTTAATCATTTCGTCCAAGCAAGGTGCTATGGCGACTTAGACTCAAGGGGTTATTGAAAGTGAAAGAGTTGGAAAAAACATTATTCATAAGAGAGGACAATAAAAGAACAGGGTTTAAATGGCAGAAGATGACAATTGACATTGCATTTAAAAATATTTAAAATCAAAAGTCGATTGGGAAGCAAGAAGTGCGAGAGAAGAAACTGTTGGCATAGAAGTTATGGTTACATCGAGCAATTTCAACTGTAAAATGATGAGACCTAACTGCCAATTCAGTGCGGCGTTTATGTTCGTCAAATCGATGTATTAAAGGAGAAAGCACATCAGGACAATTACCATGAAAATAATTATAGAAGAGTCAGAGAGAAATTATGTTATGGCGGTGGGAAATTGACTGAAGCTGAGATGCCATTACAGATTCTTCTTTGGGTTTCATAAAGAATCTCTAGATACATAGATTGTTATTTGCTTAAGTTAGTTTTAATTCCGAAACGCCTGTCTGTGAAACCTAGGCTTGAGGCCATATCACGTTGAAACAATGCTTCTCGTACAATCACCGAAGTTAAGCAATGTCGAGTCTGGTCAGTATCTAGATGGGTGACCGCCTAGGAATACCAGGTGTTATAAGTGTGGATGTTCGAGGGGGTAATGGATAATGGCTCGAAATTGTTAATCGGAAAGCGGAGTTCCAATTCCAGTTGGGTTTATTATCCTCCTTCATGCGCAAATGGCATTGGGAAAGTTACGAATCTACTTCTCGCCCCCCCCCCCCTCCGCCAATTTTGGCTTAATTAGGTATGACGAAATCATTATTATCTCAAAAAATTCTTACAATCTAAAACTATTTTCTGGTTTAAATAACTGGTAAAGGGTTGATAAATCGTAAAAAAACGGATCAGTCAATCAAATCTGAGATTTGATGGAGTATTCTCTTTAAGACAAAAAGTGTTCATTAGCTTGAAACTATTTTTAATAATTGTTCTGAGAAAATGGTTGTACATAGGTTATAGTTTACATGTGTGTGGGGATATGTATGCATTTGTGAAGTCTCATACCTCTTCTTGAAGTTGAATATGTTTATCATTGTAAACCTGTATTACATCCCAGCCATTTTAATATATAGTTGTTATGTAATATAAAGGTAGTCGAATACAACTGATTCCGATCGATTTTAATGGAATTATGCATGGCAATTAACAATATTTTGCTTCCTTTGTCAGATCAAGTTTTAATGTACATATTCGTCAAATATTATAAGCTATTTAGTCTGGTAGACTGCTTCAGCGTGAATTTTTGTGAACATGTTTGTTATGAAGAGTGACATCTGAAACCTGGTCTTCACTTAGATTTTCGTACTGGCATCAAAAACATTCTTCTAGTCATTGTTCAGCCAGCTAAAGAAATTCCTTCTCTATTTGTTCCATGTCGAAGAAGAGGAATGAGTCGTTGTACTTGCTATGAAATTTCACTGTTCAAAACTTAACGTTTACGAAATTTTAAACTTTGATTTTGGTAGGCCAATTAATATCTCGTGTACTAAGAGAATCAAAGTCCGATAAAGTTTACATGAATTTTGATTTGGGATCGAACCCGTTGACATTATCGTTATTGCTTAAGTGGTCCTGAGGGGAAACAAGAGCGATGTATATATTTTTTAATCTCAGGAAAAGTATGATGGGATTAGGCTGTCTGTTTAGATGCAAATCATTCAGGTCAAATCTGATAGGCTATGTTTATGTAGTAAAAAGATATGAAATAGGCGAATTATTTCTATCAGCGCAGAAACATTTTACATAAAAAATTCGCGCGCATTCTCCCAACATATAACAAGACGCGAACAGTTATTTATTTTGTTATTCCCCTTCACTATCTATCTACTAAATTTTATATATATATATATATATATATATATATATATATATATATATATATATATATATATATATATATATATATATATATATATATATATATATATATATATATATATATATGTGTGTGTGTGTGTGTAAAAATATAAAAAATCAACGTGATAATAATATAGTTTTAAGGTATGCTATATTAATGGATTAAAGTGCACATTATCAGGGATAGAGCGTATAAAAGTGAGCACATACACATTTATATATACGTATATCCTGATTAAGTAATTCATCAAGTCTAGAAGAAACCTCAAAAGAATGCACTGAACGGCCATTTCGCCCTATAGTTGGTACTCATCAGCAGTGCGCATTCACTACCGTGAATTAAAACCCGAACAATTACGATAGGAGGCAAACGCAATACCAACTGTACCATCGGGCCTCGGTTTGGTAACCGAAGCCCATTGGTATAGTTGGTATGGCGAACGTTTATTTATTAGTGAACGTATATTTTCTACGAAATTTCTCGGACATTTACGCCGTAAATGTAATTAATACTGTTTAATTAAAACAGTGCATTTACTAAAATAACTTGTATCCATAAAATAATATATTAATAGAAAATATATTAAAATATTTGTTGGATTTAATCCTTTCATTTAATATGTACATATATGTATATTTAGGTAGCATATCTTCATTCAAACATGTTTCATTGAATAATATTGACATATTATGTCTATTTATTTTTATAATAATATTTTCCAGTTCTCTCAACTTGATGTTAAGATGAAATTCATCAAAGAAGGCGTCGTAATTTTTTCGTACACATCACAATGAAATCCAGATTTTATCACAATTACAATAAGTTTTGACTTTCTAATTTACCCCTGGGGATGATCAACTCTGATCCGTTCGCTGAGTTAACCATCTGATGAGATCTCGGCAGTCGAAACCTCGGTAATGTTCCAATCAACGTTTTAATCTTTTTAAGATATTAAATCGGTCTACAGGTTTGGTTTTTCTTACTTGAAATTGAGCACTTTTTAACACATAAGATTTGAAAACAACTAGTTTAGTGTTTTTATTTTTTTGTATATATATATATATATATATATATATATATATATATATATATATATATATATATATATATATATATACACGAGGGAAAGTAATTTCTAAAGAATGCATTTTTATTTATTAATACGACAGATTTTTATTATTTAAACATTAATTTTAGCGGACACTCGTATTTAAGTAGACGCTCTGTTTATTTGTTATACAGTAAATTTAATTATTTACCGCTCTCCGACAGGATACTTTTCTAAAACGATTTCTTGAATATTCGGGCCGATAGAAGAAAATAAATAAATATAATGTTTAATAAATAAACGGCGCGTCTACTCAAATACGTGCATCCACTAACTTTTAAAAGCAATTAATGATACAAAATTATGAGGCAGCAATATTATCAATTTTATTATTAATTACACATTTTAATTAGTATTTAAAAAAGGGCAAAAGAGGGTTTATTGTTCCACTGGGATTTATAGTTAACACATTCGGTGAGAGTTTGGAGCAATAGCTTAAAACAGATGCGGTCTTTTTTGAAATAATAAGCATATTTTTTATACGTGCATACTAAATTAGAGTTTTAGAATTATATATATATATATATATATATATATATATGTGTGTGTGTGTGTGTGTGTGTGTGTGTGTGTGTGTGTGCGAGTGTGTATGTGTGTGTGTATATATATGTATGTATGTGCGTGCCGGTTGTTGATAGGCATTTAATTGAATTACTACTGACAAATTTCTAACAAAAAGCCTTCGTTGGTGTTTATCCAAACTTTTATAAAACGTAAAACTATTGCACAAATAAATATATATATATATATATATATATATATATATATATATATATATATATATATGCGAATATATATATATGCTAACTTTCAATAGCTGAGGTTCCAGAATTTTTCGATTCACAATTACTGATTTTTACGCCATTTTTTGTGACGAATTTTTGTAGTGTAACAACTTTTTATAACTTGCAATAAAATTTGGAGTAATCGAAATTAATTGAGCAATCCAGCTGCTTGTACGGAAAGTAAGGACCTACGAACATCAAATTCACTTTTAATTAAGTGCTGACAGAAGAATTATCGTTGAACGTTTAAAAGGTAAGCGTAAATATTAATGAATACTTAAATCCAGCGATCAATTTTGAGTTCGTCTGTAGTTTATTGTTGCCTATCGCATATGCCAGCTGTATATCTCGCAAAAAGACTGCAGCGAGAAAAAGAAAGTCCCGTACAAATGAAAACCTAGATCAAACGGCAGCCAGGAGATCTTCCAGTGCTAAGAATATGTAGAAATTTAGGGAGTCTCAAATTCCTTAACAAGCCAAAAGCCTAAACAAAAGCCATCCGCAAGAGCAAGCTTAAATGTCGCCTATCGAGCGGCTTTTAAGCTAGTATATATATATTTAAGTTATTCAACTGATCTCCTAATTTTTAAAGTGTATATGTATATATATATATATATATATATATATATATATAAAGAAATAATATATATAATATATATAATATATATATATATATAGATATAGATATTTTATTTTTCAAAATAGTGCTCAATGTAAATTTACAGAGCATTAACTCTAAAATTCGCTTGAGGATGAAATGGAACTAATGTCTTTAATTTAATTACAAAATTAAATTAGAGCATTCAGCTTCCATTTTTGAACAGTGTAGTGAAAAAAAACATATTTTAAATTAATTAATTTACAATATATATATATATATATATATATATATATATATATATGTGTGTGTGTGTGTGTGTGTGTGTGTGTGTTAAAATATAGTTATAAGGTATGCTATATTTATGCATTAAAGTGCTCAATATCAGGGATAGAGCGTATAAAAGTGAACGCACGCACACACGTGAGTGTGTGTGTGTGTGTGTGTGTTTACGTACATTTTAGTTTGAAACAGTGTTTGGAAAGTTGGAATAAAAATGGGAGCTGAATTTTTTTTTTTTTTAAATATATATTTTTTAAAAATATTTTTTAAAAATATTTAAAAAATATTTTTTTAAATAATATTTTTTTTTATATATTTTTAAATATATATTTTTTTTTAACAATTTTCAGTAATGAAACGTTTTTTCCTTGAATTTTCTCAATCTAAATTAAAGTGCGGGAGGAAATTTACCGAATATGTAATAAAATGGGAGGTTGGAATAAGGATGTCACGAGTGGATTTTTCTCAAATGATAAAAAAGAACAGTAAAGATTAATCGTCTATGGACGACCATTTAGAACTGAAAGGTATGTTGTTCTGGACATTCTTTAAGACGATGCCACCTTTGCCCTCCAGCTTTTACGAGAATTTTTGTAATCTGTTCAGTGAAGGTGTTCTTTTATTCTACCCACACCACTGATCATCTCCTTGAATATCTATTTGCGTTTCATTCTCTTTTCCTCTTTCTTTCCGATAACCCAACCCATATCTCAGATGTGAAGTTGGTGTCGATTTGTTTGTAGAGTGTCGAGCAAGGCATAAATTAGCCACCTTACCATCTCGAAAAAAGGAAAACCTCAAAAAGTACCAAGGAAAAATATAAAACATGAACGTGGAAGTTCAAGAGATAAAAATCGGAAAATCGTAGGTGGAAAAAAACATGTTGTAGGAGACTCTAGAAAACAAAAGAAAGACTTACAAGAATGAACAAACGACGAATGAA